GGCCTGACGGCCCCACCTCCAAAGCTGTCTAAGATCTAAGCACTTCTCCCCATCTCCACAGCCACCACTCTGATCAATAGCAGCAGCCTCCTCACCGGTCTTCCTCCTTCCATCCTGGCCACACTGGTCCTTTTAGAACAAGTCAGACGATGTCACTGCTCTGCACACAGCACACAGAGCAAAAGCCCAAGTTCGTATAATCACCCACCAGGCCCCCCGCAAGCTGGCCCCCAGGCCTATCACCTCTCTGACGTTGTGCCCCACTACACTCCTCACCTCAGGGCCTTTGCACTTGCTGTTCTATCTGCATGTTCCCCCATAGCCCAGTGTAGCCTTCCCTGATCCTGTGTAAAATGCAACCACCCACCCTCCCTCTGCCGCTCACTGCTTTATTTTATCTCTGTGGCACTTATCATCCATCTGACATAATATACATGCATTTGCTTATTTGTTTATTGTCCCCTCATGGAGGCAAGAATTTTTACCTCTTTTGTTTACCACCATTTTTCCAGAGCCTGGACTAACACAGGCTAGGAATTCACGCTGAATGAATGACTGAATGGGCCTTGATATCATCTCCTATTTCCATACAATGAAATGTAAAAGTTGGGTTCTCAGTTCAAGGTCCCAAAGCCTGATACCGGTAATTCCCTAAATTTGTATTCACCCTTTATTCCTACTTCACAGAAGAGGTATCTCACCTCCTCGTTGAGCCTAAATCACCCATCCACTTGGGCTCCCAGGCCTATATCCACTCTTACTTCCTTACTGATCTTATTCTTGCAGTTTCTTTCTTTCTCTTACATTTTTTTTCCACTTTTGATTCCCTCCATATTCAACCTCTGCTTCTCCTCCTCTAAAAAACATTCTCATGGCTCCTATATTTACAAAAAATAAAAAATAAACAAATAAAACTCCCAGCATCTTGCTACACTCTTTAGCTACCCATTCTCTTCCGTTTTATCATACAACCACTTGAAAGAACAGTTGACATCCTGTCTGCGCTGCCTCTCTGCACTCACTTCTCAGTCCCGCGGTCTGCTCTCTGTCATGACCACTCTACTGAAAATATGTCTTTGAAAATCCCCGGGGCCACCTAATTGGCAAGCCCAGTGGATTTTTCCCAGTCCTCCTCCTCGTGATCTCTCCAGTGACATTTCGAGCCCCGCACCCCTCCTTCTGGAAACCCTTTACTGTCTTGACTTCTGTGGGGACCCACTGTCCTTGTCTTCTCTCGCTGTCCTGAACATTCCTTCTCAGCACCACCCCCCTCCATTCCCCTCATGACCATTTCACCCTAAGTTTTTTTCTCTCCATGCCCTCTGACATAGAGATCTCATTCATGGCCAAGTGTTAATCTACATCGTTGTGAGGACGACTCCAAAATCTATAGTTCTTTCTACTCTTTCAAGCTCCAATTCCAGATGTTTAGCTGCTTTCCCTACATCTACTACCTGCAGGCTCCGCCATTACCTCAAACTCAACATATGGAACACTGATGTCTTCATCTTACACAAAATCCACTTCCCCTAAAGCCTGGCTTATTAATGGAACTGGCATTCTGGTCCTATTCATGGAGCCCCAGATCCATCTTTGGTGTCTTCCTCTCCTTCACCCCCTATATCCAATCAATTTGTAAGTGTACTGGTTCCACTCTCGTGGTATCCTTAGCACCCATCTCTTTTTCATCTCCATGGTCAGCACCCTCATGCAATGGCCCAACCCAGTCTATCTAATAAATGACCACATCTCCCAACTCAGAGTTGGAAACTCTCTCCCAACTCAAAGATGCAAACTCTCCTATTTTGCATCCTTCCTGCCCAGATCCACCAGATACATCTTCCTCAATTACAGCTCTGATCGTGGCATACTCCAACTAAAACATGGCCGTGGCTCCACACTGCCACCAGGCAAGATTCAAACTCCATAGTCTAGTATTTTAAGACCAACAACCTGCAGGCCCCAGGCTACCTTCCTTGACTCTCTCTCACACTGCCTATATGCTCTCAATCTACTATATTTGTCAAACACTTCTGCTTCCCTATCTTCACTAAGAACCCTGTCTCTCCAATGACCCCAACCAGTTTCCAACTCCTACACCTCTCCCAAGGTTCTATTTAAAACCCAGATTAAACACACTCCTCAATTTCTTCAGCTGATATGGATCTTTACCTTTTCTTTACTCCCACAGAATTTTCTCTATAGCTCACTTATTAAGAATGACTTCATTTTAAAGTTCCAATTCTTTCTCCTCTTACTAAACTCTAGACTCCTTAAAGATAAGATGCACATCTGATCTCCAACATGCATTGAAATCTCTACCTCTAGGGACATCTGAGATCAGTCCAGTCACAGAATCAGGATTATAAGATAACATGGACTCAACAACTCTGACTCCTATTTCTTTTTCTTGTCTTATTGCACTGGCTAGGATATCCAATACAATGCTAAGTGATAGTGGTGATAACAGGCATATTTATTTTGTCCCTGGTTTAACAAGAATGCTTCTAATGTTTCACAAGAAAGTGTGATGTATATGCTACAGATTCCTGGCACCTACCCTTTATCAAGTTAAGAAAACTACCCCTATATTCTCTGACATCCAAGCTGAAATAAGACACAAGGAGTTGTTGGATCAAAGTGGAATGAACCAAGGATACAGTATTGGAGAAATGCTGAGCCAAGGAAGAAGAGCCAGGAGAAACCAGATCAAGTTCATAGCCATGAAGAGGCTCTCCCTCAGATCTGAGCTTCCTGGGTTACTCATGCTGAAGCTTATGTTCCAGCTTCTCGCAGAAGAATGTGGAAGATGCAGGAGGAAGTGGTACTAGTCTGTTCCTTGACTCCCAGATTGTTGTACACAATGATCCTGCCTCTGCAGGGTTACTGAGGAAGTTGTGCAAACAGGACCTGCTGACATAAGAAATACTTTCATGACAGGGTGTGGACCAAAGAGGCCCCTCTATAGCCTTGGAGACCAAATATATCTGTCCACTCTATACACCTCATCACTTCTCCTGACTGATTCACTCACAGTTGGTGGAGAGGATGATAGCAGGGTTGGGGACAGAGACACTGTACCAACATCTCTCCCTCCCTATGACTTCTTGGCAGCCAAAGCCTGAGCAGCTAAGGATATAGAGGCTAACAGTCAAGACTTCAGAAACTGGTAGCAGAGAAAAGGCTGAGAGGAGATGCACTACAAGATGCCCATCCTTCTGACCCATTAGAAGGATGATGGGCAACCTTCTGGACCCATTAAGGTACAGCTTCCTTTAGAGCAAGCTCCAGGAGAGCTATACAGAAGGGATTTCTGGTAGGGGAGAGGAAATTCACTCTGCTTCCCCAGAGAATCTGGCCCCAGATCCCGCCCATCATTAGGTTAGAGTGTTACTATTCCTCAGGCCACCTCAATTCTATGAAATATTAAGAGGGCCCCATTCTTCTCCCTTTAACAAAATCTCTGACAAAGAAGCCAGGGGTCCTTATCTCAGGAGCCCAGAGGTGGAGAAAAAGCAGAAGATGGCAGCCCCATGTGGACCACCTCATAAAGCTTTTCACTTCTAGAGTTAGAGAACTACTCATCCTGTGTTTTGACTCTCAGCTAAAAGCAATAACGTGCTCCCCGACCAGCTCTCCAGGCAAGATGAAACCCTGATTGCCAATTTTCATGGTATAAATACTTCCATCGTGGCCAATTTGAAGTTACTGAGAGTGGAATGAGGAACTGCACTCTGCTCTGAAGTACAGCAGGGCATCCATGCCCCACACAGGTCCTAGACACAGACCAATAGCCAGCTGGCCTGCCCTCAGCTATTTCCCCAAACCCACTGTCCATCCCCAGAGAGGGGTCTCCCTCTCTTCCTACAGCTGGTATGGTGACTCAGCTTCCCCTACATTTAGGGAAAGAGGTGGAGGGCAGAGTCAGCTGCCCAGGCTCCTCTTCTCCTCCCCGAGTTCTCATCACCCTGGCAGCTGAGGGGCTTGGCACAAGGTCCCCTACCCGCAGTCTCTAGTCCACCCCTGCCTGGCCTTACCTCCAACATTTAAATAAACCCACAGGATTTCCCACCCAGTTCAGTTGCCCCCATGGAATGGTCATAGGCTTAGGCCAATAGGAAGGAAGGGAGCCCTTCCCATCCCTCCCAGTGTGGCCCTGCACACTCTGCCATTTCTTGCCTTTATCTCCCCAATAAGCTCTCTGGTCACTCCATTCTCTCTCCTCTCTCCAGAAAGTTAAGCCCATTCTCTGATAGGAAATGGAGCTTCGTTTCTGTGTCTGCTTCTCATACAGAGCCGGTCCAAAAGCAAGGACCAACAACACAATTGAACAAGAAGGGGAACCTTGGTCTCCCCACCAAAATGAGACATTTCCTGAGGGGACCCACCAGGGTTGAGCACTCAGGTAGAGCCCAGACCTTTAGGACACCCTCTCTTCTCTGCTATGCCCCTGGGAGGGCCCAAGGTGGGACCTGAGTCTACAGAAACCTCCCCTCCAGCCTTCTCCACACCTTCCCCCAGGAACTGAAGTCTGAGGGCTGCAGGTAGTTGCAAAGAGCATCTTCTCTCTGCCTAGAAAATCTGTACTCCAGCCACAAAGTAACCACCTCCAGGAACCTTTCCCTGATCATCCTAGCTGATAAGCCTTGCTTTTCCTCCAGCTCTGGGGCTTCGGTCCCCACCCCTGTCATGGCACACCTTACACTCCTGTGTACCTCTCCGTTCCCTAAACTGTAAGCTCCTTGAAGGCAGGAACTGAGAGACACTAGTCTTTGAATCTCAGTGCCTGGCATAGAGCCTAACAGACATTGAATGCAGGAAGGGATGGCTGGCTAGCCTGTGAGCTCCTGACACCTCTTCCCCAGGTCAAAGCAGCACCTGCCAAGGGCTGATGGCTGCCCTGGCACCTCCCCCCCAGCAAGACCAACCGAGACCAAAGAAGAAAGGCACAGAGGGGGTGGGAGGGGATTGCCAGGACCGACGGTCCTTGAGGCTCTCACCTGCTACTCGGTGGGCCACCAGTCCCTCCAGGTTTAGTGGTTCCTCCTCTGGAGTGCGTGAAGGGTCTGAAGTTGCCTCCTTCGGTGGGAGCGGAGGCTGAGCAGTGAGGCCAGGGAGAGAGGCTGGGGGCTGCTGAGGCCCTGGAGGGCTCTGGGTAGTTGACAGGAAGGCAGATGAGGAGGAGGCTGGGCTCTTTGGACGGAAACTCTGGCTGGACCCAGCTGGACATGGCTGATAATCATAAGGTGAGTAAGGCCTGCCAGGAGGGAAGGACTCCACGGCCAGGGAGGCCCGTGGGGCCAGCTCAGGGGTTCCCAAGGAATGCCCACTGGGGATGTAGCCAGACCTGGACTGGGTCAGTGGATGGGGCTGGCAGGAGGAGCCTGAGAGAGGCTGGGAGGACAGCGGGGAAGCCCCTGGCCAGGCCCCTGGGACACTCTGGGACTTGTGCAGGGGGGCGGAAGCTGTGGCCGGCTCCAAATCCAGCATCAGCATGTTGAGTGCTTCGATGGACTGCTCAATCTCCTGCTGGGAGGCTGCCCTGGGGAACTCAGGGAGGCCGGGGGTGGGGGTCTCTGCCAGCGGCTGGGGGCTGGGCCTGCTGGGCCCGAGACTCTCCAGGTGGGCTCTCTCCTGCTGGCGAGGAGGTGGACGAGGCTGCTGCTGCTGCTGCTGCTGCTGCTGCTGCTGCCAGGAATTCAGGCCCCTCTGCACAGCCTCCCGGCTGCTGCCCCCGCGCGCTGGAGCTGGGGGCAGCTGGGGCTCGCTTTCCGGAAAGGACTGGGAGCGGAACATACTGCTGGGGTCATGGCCATAGTGGGAGGTGGTCACTGGCTGCGGCCAGGCTGGGTGGGGCCCCTCCCGCTGGTAGCCGGCTAAGCCCTCCTGCGCCGAGTAGGAGGGCCGCATGGGGGCCACGTGGGCTGCGTGGGCAGGTGCCGTCCGGCTGGCGGACTCATAGGGGTAGGCCCCACCATTGACCATGGGTTCCACGGGGTAGGGCTTGTCCAGGCCGTTGGTCAGGGAGGACAGGGCCTCTGGGTAGCCCCCCTCACTGGTGTTGGTGACCCCGTCCAGGGAGGACAGTGTGCCCATGCTGCCCACGCTGTGCCCATCCTGGTTGGGCAACTCGTCGTCCAGGATGTCCGTCTCCCGCTCAGAGGCCAAGGCCCCACCGTTGACGTGAACCTGGGCTGGGACGACATGCCGGCCTGAGGAGGGTACGGCCGGGCCCCCCGCCGGGCGGGACCGGAGATGCTGGGGGTGGTACATGGCCCCTTGCTTCTCTCTCTCTACACCGAAGCCACTGAGCAGGCGGTCCAGCTCACGCTTCTCCTCGGGACTCAGGGCAGCAGGGGCGCTGGAGGGGCCGGGGGCGGGCTCATCGGTCTTGTCTGTCTTGGTGGAGGCTGTGGAGTTGCCGGAGTCGCTGCTCACGGAGAGGGTGTGCTCCACGTGGTTGGGGGTGGCCGACAGGGCAGGGCGCGTGGCATTGACAGCCCCAGTGCTGCCGTGCAAGGAGTCCTTCTTCTTCACCTTGGCGTACAGGCTCCCATCCAGGGGTCCCTGAGTGTGTCCCACCACCTCTGCAAGAGAGCCGGAAGGGACAACAGACACAGAGGTCAGTGGGAGGCATGACATCTTCTCTTCTCCCAGAGGAAAGGAGTGAAGAGCTTCCATTCCCTGGATCCTAAAATCTCCTCTCCTGACTCAAGATAGAGCTGAGGTCAGGGATGTGGGAGAGGAGGACAAAAGGACCCGACCCCAGGCTTTTGGGCCCCAACACAGCCTCAGGGCCAGGCAGTGAAGCCTAAGGTAGGTGGGTGTTGCGGGGAGGTCCTGGGAGCAAGATGCCCCAGGGGACATCTTGCGTGCTCTGGCATCTCACCAGCTTCCCAAAGACTGGAAGCACTGGGTCAGGATGGGGTCCAGCAAAGCCAGCAGTCCCCATGTCACAGAGGACATGCTTTCCCTCTGAATGCTGAGCTCGTGGGGTTCCAGAAAGGGGACTCAGGGACCAGGGTGGCAGGGGAAGCATCCAGAACACGAAAGGAGATGTTCTCATCAGGGAGGGGTGTCCCCTGTGTCATTTTGTCTGTGCACAGCTCTGGGGACCCCATGAGCAATACTTTCTCTGAAAGGAAAGAGTGAGCGCTGGGTGGCTCAGGGCCAAAGGGCTGACTCAGGAATGAAGAACTTCCCCACCCAGAGGGACTCAGTGATTTCACACCCTGTACAGTCAGCAGCCCAGCTTCCAGCCCCGACACACACACACACACACACACACACACACACACACACTTGCGTGCACGCACAAACACCTCCCCTCCCTTCGCTCTAAAGGCAGGCCCCCGGCTGGCAAGAAAAGGAAGCCCCCTCCCAAACCCTGCACAAACTCCAGCCAGACACCCCGAGTCACTCACACACCAACCACACACAGGAAGACCAGACCCAAAGACATCCAGGGACACACACGCCAACTAATAATCACCTGAGTCAAACACCCAGAATTCACCCAAATCAAACACCCTGCTGCACTCTCGGGGCACACTAGATGCATAGGTGCCCCCGAGGCACCAAACACGGTGCCCTTTACACACCCATTATTTCTAACCCTGTGAGTCGGGAGTATTATGCCTACTTTAAGGTTGGGAGAAATTGAGGTCCACAGAAGTGAGGCCATTCATCTACAGATACATGGGAGAGCTGGGATTCAACATCAGAACTAATTTAAAATATGATTAAAATAAAACGAAATTAAAAGCAAAATTAATTTAAAATCAGAACATCAAAAAACCATGTAATTTTTATTATTCCACATGGTCTCTCGTATCACACACACACACAGGGTCACTTAAACACATAAAAAGGCAGCAACACCCCAACATAAATACTTCAATCTAAAGCCACAGTCATTTCACAAAATACAAGCTCCTAAACCAGGCCCAAGGATCAGCCCTCAGGCCAGATAGTGGCAGCCTCTAAAAATAAACACTCGCACAGAAGCCCACAGCCAAAAACAAGTGATCACACAACCACAAAACAGGAACATCCTGATCAACATACACACTCAACGAACCACAGGCCAACCAGTGACGTCACGGGAGCTAGCACAGCGATGCCCAGAGAGGCGCATCGTCCACGCCCCCCTTCCCCGGGGGGCTGGATGCTCTGCTCACTCACTTAACTCTCCAGAACCACCTCTCCGTCCCCAGTGTTCCCTGGGGCTTTGGGACCTTGGCCAGCGGCAGGCCCCACGCAATACTGGGCCAGAGTGTGGCCACGGCCCAGGGCTCCCAGGGATCGGGCTGGTGTGAGTCGGAGCTCGCTCTAAGCTCCAGAACAGCTCCTCTGTTCTTCGTGCCAGGGTCCCCAGGGACTGCTTGGAAGACTGCCTCTTCCGACTGGTCTGTCATCGTCCCTAAAGGTGTCAAAGCTACTGAAGAGAGGCACTGCCCCTCATGCCACGACCTTCAAGAGAGGCACTGCCCCTCATGCCACATCCTTCCAAAGACCCACTGCCCCTCATGCCACATCCTTCCAAAGAGATGCACTGCCCCTCATGTCGTGTCCTTCCAAAGAGAGGCACTGCTCTTCATGCCACGTCCTTCCAAAGAACTGGGCTCCCTGCTACACACACACGCAAGAGACCCCAGCTGACAGCTTCCATAGCGGGGAGGCATTGAAGACCAGAGCTCTCCTCCATCAGATTTCTTGGGGTTGGTTCCCATGAGAGTGGGAAGCTGAAGAGCTGTCCTTCCTTCCCGGTGAGCCTGGAAAGCTGCTGACCCCAGAGGAGGCAGGCCACTCCTGGGCCCTGGCCCCACTCCGAAGCTCACGCTGTGAGGCCAGGGAGCTGCTCTATCCCCTGTACCCCTTAATCTCCCAAGGTCCTCCTCATGTGGTCTGGGAAGTGGGGGGAACAGCAAAGCAAAGGGTGGAGTGGCCGACGGGCTCCCCCTTTACACGGAGGGTGCAAACCAGCATAAACCTAAAAGTGTTCTTTCCTTCAGAGAGAAAGGAGGCCCACTCCCGCATCTCACTTGGGTTCCTAAGAGACAAGCTCTTGGCGAGAGAGCTAAGAAGGCATCCCCAGAGGGAGGCAGGGAGGATGATCTCACACTCATTCCCAGGACCCGATACCTTGCCCTGCTTGGCCCTTCATCGATTCTTACAACGTCAATATTAAACCTATTCTTCCCTGGAATTTAGACCCACCGGTCCACTGTTTGTGGCCACATCACCAGTGATAATTGCCAGGCCACCGAGACTGAGTAAGAAAATCGAAGACATGTAGATCGTTTAACTAATTCTTTTCTGCAAAATACAAATAGAAACATCTATCGCAGTCCTCCAGGCAGGAGCCAGCTGCTCCCGCCACTGCGGGCTGTCCTGCGCCTGCGCTGGCCTTCCTTTCCCTATCGAGGGGAGGCCGTGAGGACACCCAGGCCCACCCCAGGGGTGTGCAGCCTCGAGAGGGCTCTGCCGAAACCCCAGTGTGTTGGCCTGACCCCAGCATGGCAGGTACCCCTGTTCCTCCTGCGGGAGATGCACCCCCCCCTGCCCCCCACACCGGTACACACAAGCTCGTCACTCCCTTCTGCACGGCCACCGCCGCCACCTTAAGTGCTACTTAGCAGGACCACAAGAAGCCGGAACACAATGTTGGTTTCGATCTATTAAGGCAGAAAGGGCAAAAGAGAGAGGCGGGCAGGGCAAGGAGGAGGAGGGAAACAGCCCAAGGAGATGGGAGTAGGGGGTGGCTTCGAGGTTCTAAAGCCGAGAGGCCACCGGATCCAGCTCACAGTCTCTGCAGCCTCCAGGGCCACAGCCTCCAGGAACTTCCAGGGGCACAGCCTCCAGGAGCACGACTTCTAGGGACCTCCAGGGACCTCCAGGGCCACGGCCTCCAGGGGCACGACTGGCACAGGGCGGGTGAGGATGAGATGTCCAGGGGCAGGGCGCAGGGGACAGAGGTGGAACCTGCCCGATCGGGGCATTGGGTACCAGTACGGGTGACAGTGGAACAGGAGGATGGACGGCAGGGGTCACACCAGCTACATGTAGCCAAGAGCCCCCAGCCGCAAGGGCAGGACACCAGGGCGTGCTGTGTCCTGGGCCACCTCCCCGGGCCACCGAGATGCCCACGGTCTCTTCAAAGCTCCACTTGCTTTGTCTGAATTTGTCTTCCACTCTCCCCGGCAGCTGCTCCCAGCCCCGGCTCCACCCTCCAGCACGAGCTCCATGGCACCAAGAGGCCCTGGTTCCTCGGCGGCCGCGATCCAGATGTGCGAGTCATGCTTTTGGAAAGCTTCGAGGAAAATCCCCAGCTGATTGGACATGGACCCACCCCCTCGGTTCCCTCCAGCAACCCACGGAGGTGTGCGTGGTGCTAGAAGCATAGAACGGGCCAGGAGGCAGGGAAGGAAAGACGCGTGCATCCTGCACCCTTCAAAAAGAAGGAAAGAAAGACGGGATGCAAGGATGACCCGGGTTTAGGGCAGCTGTTTCCCAATTTTGATATTCATAAGAATCAACTCCATAAGGAGTGTTAAAAATGTAGATTCTGGGGCCCCACCCCGAAAGATTTTTTACTCATAGGTCTGGGGCAAGGCCAAAAAGCAGTATTTTAGCTTTCCTGAGGCTCTGGGACTTGCATAGGTGGATACTATCTTGAGAAACCCTGACCCCCGTGGTCAGCACTTTAGACTCTGAGATTAAGCCCCAACCCCCCACTTCTCTTGCTAATGGAAAAGTTTCACTTATTTAGATGTCAGGACAGATGGCCCCGACCATGAAGAGTAAAAGGTGCCAGCCCGGTTGACTCCAAGAAAGAAGTTTCCTTTGGCGATGATTCAGCAAGGAGCGACCCCTCCTCGTCCAAGCAGCAGGTCTGTTTTGAACAGTTAATGATTTATTTTTTTTATTTTATTTATGATAGTCACAGAGAGAGAGAGAGAGAGAGAGAGAGGCAGAGACATAGGCAGAGGGAGAAGCAGGCTCCATGCACCAGGAGCCCGACGTGGGATTCGATCCCGGGTCTCCAGGATCGTGCCCTGGGCCAAAGGCAGGCGCCAAACCGCTGCGCCACCCAGGGATCCCCAGTGAATGATTTATTAAGGTTTTCAAGGAGGGGGCCCTTCGTGACACAAAAGTCCTGTGGGTCCACGGCCAGCAGAATAACAATCACTAAAACACGTTCCCCAGAGCAGTGATGACCAACCAACGTTGGAGGAGAATCAAAGCAGTGCCAACGGGAGGCAGCATCACGCCCACCCCGGACACAGTAGTTTAGAAGCAGACCAGGGCCTCGGCACACGCAGAGGGAGCCTCAGCTCCTTAAACACAGTGAGGAGGCATCTAAGGCCACACGCGTGTGGGACGTAGGTGAGCTTTCACGAGGGCTGAGGCCTGGCCGAGAAGCAGCCGAGAGAGCAAGGTCTGGACACGTTAACCCGTTGGTCACAGATTCCCCCTCAGCTGTGGAGAGAGCCAGCCTGGAGCCCCATAGGACCAGGGCTATTGTGGGAGCCAGAGGATGCGGCCGGGTACCAGGAAGGCCGGAGGGCCATGGTTCTGGAGAGAA